AAGATGATGAAGAAGAAAATTCACCACTGGAATCATCAATTTCAAAAGAAGAAGAAGGCTCTCCGCTGCTATCATCATTTTCAACAGAAGAGGATGAGAATGGTGAAAATGTTACAGAGATGGAGGAAGAGATCTCGGAAAGAACATGGAGCTCTTCCACAGAATCTAATATGGAAGCAATTTGGCCATCAGAGATGATAGGGGTCCTGTCTCCTGAATCCAAAGAGATCAATATTAGCCATCGAACATCTGCAAAGAAATTCGAGGAGAAAGACGCAACAGCAAAGCTAGAAGATTACTTGGCTAACGAGTTTGACGAAAGTGGCAGCAATGATGGCAAGAACAAGAAAGAAACTCAGGAGCTTGTGGTGATGAATGATCAAAAAGAACATTCAGCAAAGTGGCAGAATTGGGTTTCGTTAGGTTTGGTCTTACTACTGCTACTTCTGCTTGCCAATTGCTTACTACAACCTAATTATATCTCTAACAGTATTTCTTTTGTTTTTCCCATGAAATATGAATCAGCACTGACAGGTGAAAAAAAATAAACCTAGTCTCGTACATTTCATTCAACTGAATTATTCGTGAACTTTAATAAATACGCCATGCCCTTGACGAAGTTGAGTTCACAAGAAATTTTTTCCTATAAATTACTATACACTATCTCACTGGTTCCAAAATTTGTTTTTCTTTCTTTATTATTTTAATATTTTCAGTTAATTATCAAAATAGAAAAAAATTTAAAATTTTGAGTTGACTCTATTAATAATCGGCACTTTCGTTAATTCCATAAAACATTGAATACGATGGAATCATGGCAGTCGACTGTACTGTATCATAGTAACAGCCTTGCTTACAGAATAATAAATATTGTTAAATTAGTTTTAGCAGGCAGCCAAAATGACCATCCCATAATTGAAGAGTTACCCTGGCTCATTAGTGATGCTTTGATTGCTTGGTCAAGTTAGCCTCTATTGAAGACAAATTTTTTAGGTACTTTTGAGTCGATATTGAATTTTATCTTCTCTAGATTGGATTTAAATATCAAAGATTTTAACTTAAGATTCAAAATTCGTATGATTGTAAGTTTAAAATTAATTTCTTTTAATTTAAATTAACTTAAAATACAAACATGCGGATCTTAAAATAATTGAAAGAACAAAATGAGCAAATTTACAAGAATAAGAGAATTATTAAAATATGTATTAATATTACTTTAAGTAAAATGTATGATGATATATAAAAAAGAATAAAATGATTTTTTATTTATAATTGAGACTTTCAATTCTATTTATAATTAGCTTTTAAAATTAAAAGATTACAATATCTCTTAAAAATAAAAAGATTATACATTGTTACAAAAGATTCATCTTGATTTTCAAAATCAATCAAATTTTACTTAAAGCTCTTATTGATTCTGACTGCTTCTAGAAGATTTTGAATCGCTCTTTCTCCTTTGGACCCTCTCAAATGCGACGTGGGCATCTTGCGGGCCTGACCGTAATTCTGCGGACAGTCTAAATTTTTCTCCAAAGCTTAGCGCAGAAACCTCTACCAATGTCCCTGGTGCTCGAATTTTAACCTCTGCTACTCGAATCTGCGCGCCTGATGCGCCAGCTCCGTACGTAACAAAGGGCTAATGAAGGTGGACAAATTATCTCCGAAACCGTAGTCCAATCCACAAAATTGATTGCCGTTACTATTTTCAAAACGAATTAATTTGTACCTTAAACTATAATAATCGTAAAAGAAATTTAATATTTGAGTATTAAATCTGACACTTTCACGAATCACGACAAATAACATTTATCAAAACTCATGTGACTGTCAAATCTACTGATTAAGGCCATTGTAGCAGAAATCATTTATTTTCTTAACTCTGAACAGCAGGAATTTGTTTTAGATATTTAGTTTCCGTGATGGACTACAACTTGGGCATGACAGATAGGGGCCCGCCTTGACGAGCGACTATTCTTTTACGCGTCCTTGGGCTCCTCGCCCAATCTTATCCAAATTAAAATAAAAAATATATATTTATATGCTTATAATACTTATTAACAATGAAATCTTGGCAGCAATTCGTATTAACTTTGGACTCTAGCTGCTATAATCAATTTTAAAGCAAAATCACGATAGAGCATTTTCCTTATGATTTTCTAGGATTCATCCTAATTTGAAAAAATAAATGGAGTGATTAATCGGCCTACTCTTGTTTTATTAATGTGATTATCCATAAGCTTTATTTTTATTTATAAATTCGTCAATGAAAGATAAAAAAAAAATTCTTGGAAAAGACTATTGTTTAGGATTAGGGGTTGCGAAGTGACATTTTGGAGGGTAGGAACATTACCAGTCCCAGCGTCCCAGGATACGTTGCTCTGCACACAAAAATTCGCGAGCAGCCAACGCCGTGTCGACACCAAAAAAAAATCTTGGAAAAGACTATTGGTTAGGATTAGGCGTTGGGAAGTGAAATTTTGGGAGGTAGGAACATTACCAGTCCCAGCGTCCCAGGATACGTTGCTCTCCACACAAAAATTCGCGAGCAGCCAACGCCGTGTCGACACCATTGCCCAATATTGAGATACTCCGCACGGGTAAAAGATTTAAAAATGGGAAATGTAAGAAGAAAGAAACGAAAAAACACCAAGACAATTTTGTGGTCATTTCACACAAGATTAACAAGAATATCTTACATTATCTCAATCTATCGGTACTGAATTGTTAATTAGATCCTTAATCTGAAAAAATTCCACCATGAAGTATAGAATATGGACACTCCTTCGTGCAGCCTGGCTGCCTGACTCCTATCCATGATTTCACTTCACAAGGGAATGTCCGAACTCTGCAGTTGTCCAAAGAAAACCCGGGCCAACGATTGGTGAAAACTGTCTAAGTGACATGGGCAAAGTATCTCTCTGTTTCTTCATTTTTGTCTAATCGGGTGGCTTTTTGCTAAAGCCAGCTCGTTCCTATCTAATCTGAGCTTAACCTCGGTCGTGTCTGCTCATAATTCATCTAGAACTTTTGCTTAACAGGAATTACCTTACCGATTAACTAGAGAATGGTGAAGAACTAGTTGAAACCTCTGGAAAATAGTTATTGTTTTCTTAGTTTAACATTCAGCTCTCTATCAGAAATATAATTAGACTCTGGATATTTATTAAAAAAAAAGCATTAATTTGACTCTATCACTCGGACTGAATAGTGAATGTTAAGATAATCTAATCTAATGGAGACCCGTTTGGATAAGCGTCGTCTAGCAATTATTCAAATAATAAAGGTTAAAACCGTAGGACCACTTTTTTAAAGGTCTAACATTTTGGGTGCGTGAATCAATCAAAATTCTTGTCATGGTTTTGCAAAGATATAATGGGCTTTAGAAATCCGTTGGCCATTGGTGGTTTTTTTATGGTGGGACCTATCCGCTGCCAGATCTTATCATGGTCGGATAAAAATAAAATAGTCAAGTTGATTTATCATAAATTTTTTATCTGACGTCATTTTTTAAGAAAAGTACATGATACTTGTCAAAATAAACTTTCATTGTATCTGATTAAATATTCATTAATAAATGTAATTTATTTTAGTATATTCCTTTTTAAATAAAGTTTCGGTGAATTTATTATTTATAAGATTTTAAATTATTTGTACTTGTTAAATTTAATTATTAAAAATAAATTCATTTATTATTAAATTAAATATTTTAATCTATAAAAGGAAAAATCTAAAATTTTAAACAAAATTCCAAATTAATTCATAAATTGATTAAACTAATATTTAAAAATATTATGCAATTAATATATTTTAAATTTAATAAAGTTTATATTAAATAATATTTTAATTAATCTTAAACCGTACTTATAAATAAACGAATTCTTATTTAAACGTTTTGGCGGGAATTACGCGTTTAATTGTTTTTGAAATGTCCATGACACATTTGTGTACTTTTTCTCAAAGCATTTGTACTTTTTGTAATAAAGGAAAAGTATAGAGGCTATCATCATCCATGGTCTATAAAACCATTACGGTCTGGCCAGCTGATTTCTTTCGCCTATGTCACATATGATAGCATCAACTAACAAGTTAAAGGTATTAATCATGTATTCGTTGTGTTAATATGTATATTTGTTTGGGCACACTAATATTAATATTATACTTAATGATCATAAAGACAAAACTAATATTATTATATTAATATTAAATTTAAAAATATTTTAAGTAATATTAATGTTAATTTTGGCTATTATACACTTCTAGTTATTGTCAAATTAATAATTTACACATTACATGTGTTTTTTTTTTCTTTTATATATGTACGAGGAAGTTCAATAGGTAAAATTAGAATTTTAGATTTCAAACTTCTTAAAAATGAGTGAGAATTAATTTGAAGGCTGACTTGGCTTTTTTTTTTTGTCCTACCTGATGATGTGGTAAGTTCGACTTCCCTTTTTTACCCTTCTTTTCGACGTGTCGCAAGTCTATTGAGCTTTACAGTAGGCGCATTACTCTGCTGTTCTCCTTCCCAATTCCGAAGATGGCTGATTTATCGGGAAACCGTCGCTTTCAAAAAATACAAAAAAGAAACGATTTTTTTGGGGGGTGCTTCTAAAACCATTTTCTTTGTCCGCCACTCCTTCTAGACAATTTATATAAAATTTTTTAAGAAAAATTAATTAAAAAATAATTTAATAAAAAATTAAAATCAATAAATTGATAAGATTTAATATAAAATTAAAAAATTATATATAATTTAAATTTGATTTATATTTATTTAATAATAAAAATTTTATTAATATTTTATTAAAAATATTTATTTTAAAAATATATATATCAAAATTGATTAATTTTTTAAAATTTTATTCACTTAATTTATATAATAAATTTTTTTTAATTTAAATTTTTATGTAATTATTTAAAAAAAAATTTACCAATTTCACATAAAAAAAACTTTATCTAAGTTTCTCACCCCCTTGCTTAGCTATATATGTAACAGCCCCGACTTCTTCAGAGTTCACTTACAAATCAGAATTCCAGTTCTTTTCTTTTTCATTCACTTTTTATTAGTAACTTTACTTTTAACGTTAGTAAAAGCAGAGCTTCGGAAACTTTGATCATGGCGAATCCTAAGCTCAGTCGAATTCCAAGCTTGAGGGAGCGCGTGGAGGACACGCTATCTGCTCATCGTAACGAGCTTGTCTCTCTTCTCTCCAGGTTCTCTCATCCACAATTCTCCACTTTATATCTTTGTTTCCTTTTCGGTTTTTAAAGTTTGTGTCTCTGTCTGATTTCTGAGAAAACTGATGAAAGGAAAGGGAATACGTTACTGAAGTTTAGGTTTGTGGAATTTGAAGGTACGTGGCCCAGGGAAAAGGAATATTGCAACCGCATACGTTGATCGATGAGCTGGATAATATTATAGGCGACGAACAAGCTCGGCAGAGGCTTAGCGATGGTCCCTTCAGCGAAGTCCTTAAATCTGCACAGGTTATTTTCCTCTCTCTCCACTTCTATCTTTTTTATCTTTATTTTTAAAGATATTTTTCACATTTATATTGAAAAGGAAAAACCACTGTTTAGATATTTATTTATTTTTCCTCCGCAATTCATGATTCAGTAAAAAAAATTCATTTTTTACTAAAAATATTTTTATAATGCTTAATTTTTTTGGGTAAGTTATTTTTATACAATTTAGTTGCAGTTGAATTGTTAATTGCTTTTTATTCTCTTTTCTTAAATTTACAATTGAATTTCTGTGGTGTTTTCTGTTCTTTGCTTGCCTCGATTGATGCGTCTTTAATGGAGTACTTCTAAATTGAACTTTATTTGTAAATCTATTTAATCTTCACGCATAACTTTCACCGTTTTTACTAGGTAAGCGTTTGATCTCAGTCAAATGGAGTCTGCCCGGCCTTGCATTGTATGTTATTGTATTTGATATACTAAAATTGTTAGGTTTCTTTTTTGTTTGACTACAGGAGGCCATAGTTCTTCCTCCATATGTGGCTATAGCAGTTCGTCCAAGGCCTGGTGTTTGGGAATACGTACGAGTCAATGTTCATGACCTTAGCGTGGACCAACTAAGTGTTTCGGAATATCTTCGCTTCAAAGAAGCACTTGCAGATGGGGAGTAAGCATATTTTCTGTTGTTTGTAATTTATGTTTATGGTTTCTTTGAAGTCAAAATATATTGTTATGTCCTAGCTCATAACTCATCAAGCATTTCATTGTTAATTATTGATTTTGTATTTTTACACATTTCATAGGGATAGCAAAAGTTTTGTGCTTGAGCTTGATTTTGAGCCATTCAATGCATCCTTTCCGCGGCCCAACCGTTCGTCATCTATTGGCAACGGTGTTCAATTCCTCAACCGTCACCTTTCTTCCAGTATGTTCCGTAACAAAGATTGTTTGGAGCCATTACTTAATTTCCTGAGAGCTCACAAATATAAAGGACATGTAAGTGTTTGAAGAAGGGGTTTCCTTCAAAACAATTTTCACCCTTACTAATTTCTTTACCTACTTATTCATCTATTATCCTTGTCTGTTAGCCCTGGCATTTACCATAATTGCAACTTCGCTAGTCATGGCTTATGTTCCTTTAGTTTTTAAAAAAGGAAAAATGTGTGCGTTGTGGTTTATGTGGTGAGGTATTAACAGATTTGGAGAGGAATATGTGGGATTATCTATTTTGTAATGAAAAGCTTATAGCAAGATGAATTATTGATGGTTTGTATGTAGGCACTGATGTTGAATGATCGGATACTAAGCATACCTCGACTTCAAGCTGCTCTGGCTAAGGCTGAAGATCATCTTTCTAAGCTTCCCCCTGATGCACCATATTCTGAGTTTGAATATGTGTTGAGTTTCTATTTATACATTCTATTTGGATTACACTCAAACACATACATACACATTGAAGTCTAGCAGCACCCTGGTAGAGCACTAAAATTGTTGATATCTCTGTTTTTCCTTGTTGTATGAATGCAGATTGCAAGGAATGGGTTTTGAGAGAGGTTGGGGAGATACTGCAGCACATGTCCTGGAGATGATGCATCTTCTCTTGGACATCCTTCAGGCTCCTGATCCCTCTACGTTAGAGACATTCCTTGGAAGAGTACCAATGGTGTTTAATGTTGTCATTCTGTCTCCACATGGATACTTCGGGCAAGCAAATGTGTTAGGTTTGCCTGACACTGGTGGGCAGGTTTGTAGTCAATCTGAAAGCATGGAAATGCATTCAGATTTTTGTTCATCAAGGAGTTGAAGCTTTGTTCTTCCTTTCAATTGCAGGACTGCTTCTTAAATGGAAATATCATCATTTAAAATTTCCATTTTTCCTACGTAATGTGCAGGTTGTTTATATTTTGGACCAAGTGCGTGCCTTAGAGAATGAAATGCTTCTTAGGATACAGAGGCAAGGACTTGATATTACACCCAGAATTCTTATTGTAAGTATACTGACATCTGGCCCAGACTGGCGTATTCCTTATTATAATTTTTATATTTTGCTTGTTTAAATTTGACATATTTTTCCTGGTTGTTCAAGGTGACCAGGTTAATACCTGACGCAAAGGGAACCAGTTGCAATCAGCGGCTGGAAAGAGTCAGTGGGACAGAACATACTCATATTCTGCGAGTTCCATTTAGATCCGAAAAAGGAATTCTTCGTAAATGGATATCAAGATTTGATGTATGGCCTTATCTGGAGACTTTTGCTGAGGTAAAATCATTTTGACTTTACAATTGTAAAAAAGCATTTGAATTTTTTTGAAGAGAAAAATGCTAAAGATTTTGCAACAATCACAACATATTTCAGGATGTATTTCTGCAATCTTATTTCATAACATGCTTTCCTTGTTGTATATGTAATCAGGATGTAGCAAGTGAAATTGCAGCAGAGTTGCAGGGTATTCCAGATTTTATTATAGGAAACTACAGTGATGGAAACCTTGTTGCGTCTTTGTTGGCTTACAAAATGGGTGTTACACAGGTTTGTCTCTCCTCTCTCCCAACTGCCCTGCCCCTCCACTCTTTCGTTTTTACTTTTGCTGAAAGCATTGTTATTAAATCTTCTAACCCTTGAATTTTACATGTCTAAATTTACACTCTTTGCAGTGCACCATTGCACATGCATTGGAGAAAACAAAATACCCAGATTCAGATATATATTGGAAAAAGTTCGACGAGAAATATCACTTCTCTTGTCAGTTTACTGCTGACTTGATAGCCATGAATAATGCAGATTTTATTATCACCAGTACATACCAAGAGATTGCAGGAACGTAAGTTTTCTCCATTTACTGTGGAATACTCTATTTATTTACTGGATTACAGTTGGCACCATTCGTTTTAGTATGGCCATGTCATATTATTGTTTTATCATAATATGTTGTAAGAGTACTGTTTATCTTAATAAACTTTATTCAGCTTGCTTTCCTATAGTAAGGAGATGGATCCCTGGGCTTAAACATATATAACTGTTTTGGAATTGGAGTCTCTATAGTTGCTTATGTGATATGAACCAAGTGATACCTTTTCATTTTATCAATTCCTTACCATGCATGTTCTTTGCTTCAGGAAGAACACTGTTGGTCAGTATGAGAGCCACACTGCCTTTACTCTTCCAGGGCTCTATCGAGTAGTTCATGGCATTGATGTTTTCGATCCAAAGTTCAATATTGTTTCTCCCGGGGCAGATATGTGCATTTATTTCCCATATTCTGATAAGGAAAAGAGACTTACGGCTCTTCATGGCTCGATAGAAGAGTTGTTGTATGATCCTCGGCAGAATGATGAACACATGTGAGTTTCTTCATTCTTTTTTATGTGCCTATATTGTATGTCTGAAGAGCATAATCTTTGAATTGATAGCATTTTGATCTGCTTCTTCTACCATAATGTTACCATGAATATTATCACCAGTTTCTTTAGATTGTTAGAGGAAAGAACAAGCCCAAATCAATTTTCTTTTACAATAGCATGCTAGAATGACAGGAAATTTTCAATTTTATGTACAATAATTGCTTTCAGTAAAATTGCTGCTCAAATAAGACTGTTATTTGACCAGTTTTCCAACCCAAACTTAGTTTTCTTCTGTGTATAGGATAGAAGACAAGAAAAGTAAAGTGAAATTACTAAGTTGCATAGAAACTGAACTAATTGCTTAAGCACTTTTAAATTTTCCTTCCCTTTTTTGTTTTTGCTAGTTATTGAATGCGGTCAAGAATTTGGGTTGCCAAGAATAGGAAGTTTCTTTTTAAGATATCTACTTTCAAGAATCTTAATAGCTGGCATTGAGTGGAAAATTAGGCTTCTACATAGAATGCAATTATGAGATTTTTCAGGTAATGAGTACAAAGTTGAGGATAATTTGCCTTGTTACAAAACTTTGTAACATAAGTCATGATAAAATATTGTTGGTTTGCTAAGTTTGTAATGCAAATTTCATCTTCAATTTGTAGCGGTACTTTGAGCGATCGGACAAAGCCCATAATCTTTTCCATGGCAAGGCTGGATCGAGTTAAAAACATGACCGGATTGGTAGAGTGCTATGGTAAGAATACCAAGCTGAGGGAATTAGCAAACCTGGTTATTGTTGCTGGTTACATTGATGTAAAGAAGTCCAAAGACAGAGAAGAGATAGAAGAAATTGAAAAGATGCATGGCCTAATGAAAGAGTATCAATTGGATGGTCAATTTCGTTGGATAGTAGCCCAAACAAATCGAGCACGCAACGGTGAGCTCTATCGCTACATAGCTGACACAAAAGGTATTTTTGTACAGGTATGTGCCCTTTGGTGATATGCTTCTGTTGTGTTACAACCACTTGATCTTTCTATTAACTTTACCCTTTCTCATTTATTCCAGCCTGCCTTCTATGAAGCCTTTGGACTTACAGTGGTGGAAGCCATGACTTGTGGCCTTCCAACATTTGCCACATGCCATGGTGGCCCTGCAGAGATTATTGAACATGGTATATCAGGGTTCCATATTGATCCATATCACCCTGATCAGACTGCTGAACTCCTGGCAGATTTCTTTCAACGTTGCAAAGAGGATCCAAGCTACTGGACTAAAATATCTGATGGAGGGCTTAAGAGAATTTACGAAAGGTTTGTTTCTTCTAATTTACATCTATACTTCCATTCTCTCCACCTAATTGTGGAGCTGAAGCAAAGATTTTGAAATTGTAGGTATACTTGGAAAATTTATTCTGAAAGGCTGATGACACTGGCTGGGGTGTATAGTTTCTGGAAGTATGTCTCAAAACTTGAGAGGCGCGAGACCCGAAGATATCTTGAAATGTTCTATATCCTCAAGTTTCGTGATTTGGTAAGCACACTTTGATCCATCATTAGAATTATCGGAGTGATGTTGGCATCACCATTTCTAATCTGCTTAAAATGCCTAGAATGTTTTTAAAGACTATAATGGTGCTCAATTTTGTGTTTGAATTTCAACTAAACGTTTCTGTATAGAATTTAAGCATTTTTGGATTCTTTTCAGGTAAAGTCTGTTCCTTTAGCCATTGATGATTAAAGCTTAATCCCTGGCTGCTCCAGAAACCAAGGTAAACCCAAGCGACATTTACTTCGCACGATAATGATAGTATGCAATATATAAATAAGGTTCTGGTTGATCGCAAGGACGAAGAATATATATGTATTGGGTCTCCTACTACCTATGGAGCTTTTGTATTGAACTTTTGACTTGTTTGGGAGTAAAATCTTGTATCATAGCTGTTGTCAATAAATGACATAATTTCTACTGTATTTGCTTGGTCTGCCTCTAGAAGTCTTGATGATTTGTATTTCAACTAACAATACCCTTGGAGGTTTCGAGCTACTTATATATATGTAATATATATATATATATAAAATATAAAATAGTAGGACAGATGGAACACATTAAAGAAAAAGGGCTAAGATAAATGTCCAGAGCCCATTTTCACAGTAAATTATGTTGAATGCATTTGTCTTTAAGACTTCTCAAGTGGTAGTAGTAGTAGTGAATAAGCATGATACGGGGTGTTTTATTTGGAACTCGGAAGAGTATTAAGTAGTAGCTGTCACAGAAGTTGGTCAGTACCTTTTGATATCGTTTTATGCATAATTTACTATTGTCATCCACTTACGCCCAAACTAAAAAAATGAATTCCAAGGAAAAGAACCCTGCGAAAACAATCTTTGTTTTAGAAGCACTTTATGGGCGACAGTGAGAATGTCTTTAGGATTTTCGTGCCTACCATCAAACCAGTTGCAACTATATATATAATTTTTTGGGGTGGGGGGGGGCTGTGGTTCATCTAGCACGCTAAGCTACTCCTGACAGTAGCTGGAAAAAACTCAGCTTGTTTGACCGCGATTTACGGGAACAACGTCACGTGTTCGAACAAAATCTTTCTTTCCTGATCTGCCTTCTTTCCATTCAACTTCACCGCACCTTTTCAACGGTCAAATACTCGTTTCCCATTAAAGCTACAACGGTAAAAATTTACCTAGCCTCCGGTTGTTGTTGTCTGTTATTTCTTGGTTGGAATCCCACATTTAATGGTCTCAGCCAACATCTTGGCCCTACTAAAGGCTAAAGGCTTTGCATGTTAAACGCATGTAGACATATCACAAATTCCAAAACAAGATGAAAAAAATATAGAGAAAAAAGCAAAGCCCCATAACGGCCTATAATTGGAGCCCAGAGCCCCGTAACGGCTTGAGCTTGCCACCATTACAATTACAATAAAACGCCGTTCTTGGCGCGCCATATCCACTCATACCAAAAGCTAAAAGCTGTTAACACTCAACACTAATAATATATATAAATAACCCCCACCAGACTGCATTCTTGACAAGTGTGCTTCAGCCTTCACTGTTTGGGGCTCGAGCCTTTGGTCTCGACCCTATTTGCCTTGACGCTTCGTGCACTTCCCAGAGGAGGAAATATTAATAGAACTTTTTAACATTTTAAAATGATTAAAAAGAAGACATTTCAAACACCTAAATCTGTTAAAGTTACTGATGAAGCTATAGAAGTAATAGGGCCCCTAAAGCTGACCGTAAGAATGAGCAAGGTAAGCTAACGCTCCTACAAGGGGTGCGTTGATGTACGTTGCTGGTTCTGACTGCTCATAATCTGACCGTTGATCTGGGAACCTGTCATGCTGGTCTGGCCCACCAATGACTGCACCCACCAGAATGTTGAGGTTGGGCGATTGAGAATTCATGAAAAGAAAGCCTGCGGAGCATTGGATCTTGGCTGGGTGCTTTGCAACGGACGGCAGAGATGAGCCCCTGTGGTGTATCCTTTGTGGGTACCGGGGACCGTATCCCACCATGTAGGACATCTTCAAGGGGTTGTCCCCTAGCAGATAGTCCACCTGATAATAAAATCATTTCTAACTTTAGTTAACTGTATAAAAAAAAAAAAACTCAAAAGTAAAAATGAATCACAACAAACAGAAAATCCTGTGACTTGTGTGATGTTGATATTGTAAATTGCAATCACCTGTTTCCTGGCAATGGTTCGGAGCCTCTTTGGGGTGACCCTGGTGCCACCGCAGTTAACAACCTGGTGGGCAGAGGTTAAGTACTTGGCATAGGTTAGAAGCAGGAATGAAGTAGAAGTCACGTACTGCATGTTGCTATCACTCATCTTAAACAGGAGCCCACCTGTTTATAGCAAGAGACAACAGAAAAAAAATCAAAACTTGCCGTTTTACAAGTCTGACATTTTACATTTTGTTAGGGAAAGGTGGGAGTGGAACCTGGAGTATATTGAGCTGAAGAGAATGGGGCCCCTGGTATGAGCGAGCAAATGAAATTATCTGCGTGGCCCTTGTAATCATGGAGAGATTGCAGTCTTTGAACAAGAAATGCCTGAAATGCAAAGACGAGAATAATCATTTATTGTATGAACAGAAGCAGCATGTAGAAAGGAGGGGAAAGGAAATGGAACCTTGGAAAGAAGAATTCTTGCTCCAACATGCTTGTTATCCCATCCAAATGTGTTGTCAAACTCTGCAGCTCCAAGAGTCTGCCCATTGACCTGAATGTAATTTAGGTAGGTTGGGTTCTTGGTTGCTCTGTGCAGCCAAGCGGCACCCCACAACAGTTCATCCTAACATTAATAAAATGCCAGAGAAATAAATTAGATTGAAATATCCTCACATTATCCCTTGCAAACAACTCTTGAATAGTAAAAGTTTAGTAACGATAATGCACCTGATAACCAGAATAAGAGCAATAGAATGGGCATACAACTTTCTTCAGTCCATTGCTATAGGGTCCTCTGTACTTATCAGCAAACTCAAACACCTATTGCTCAGAGACAACACACATTTTCATTTAAGAGGAAATTTTTAATAGAGCAGGGATAATTACAAATTTGTTTTGTAAGAATAAAAAATTTTACCCTGATAGCCCTCCTAACCAAAAGCTTGGAGTAAGTGGGGTCACTTCTTCTGAAGACCAAAGAGGCAGCTGCAAGAGCAGCAGCAGTTTCCGCTGCTACATCAGAACCAGGAGAGTTTTTGTCTATTTTGAAAACACTTCTTGGAGTGTCCATGTCTTCTGGTCTTTCCCAGCAAGAATGGTCCTTGTTTGCATCACCAACCTACAGAACAACCCAGAGCTAATATTAGCAGCTCTGATTTTTTATTTTTGAATTTTCCTTGCCAGTGAAACAAAAAAAAAAATGCACATGCTTTGCAAAATAAAGCAGAAATTTTGAAAAGTTCAGGGAAAAGAAGGTAATACCTGAACATAAATGGTGTCTGGATGTGCAGTTGCTTTGAGTAAGTAATCAGTAGCCCAACGGATGGCTTGTTTGGCATTTTGTAACTCTCCTTTCATCAACCCACCAAATTCAATTACACTCCATGAGAGCATGGTGGTGGTGAAGGCCATGGGGAACCCAAACTTCACATTGTCCCCGGCATCATAGTATCCTCCAACCAAATCAACCTGCATTTTCAAATTTCCCGCTTAAATGAGCTCACATGACAACCCAATGTGAAGGAGAAACCGAGGAAACGTGAAACAATAGCCTTTGCAAAAGAGAAATGAGAGAATGTTTTTGTATATTTACATGCATGGCTGCACCATCTGAGAGGCCAGAGTCTCTCCTCCAAGTAATCCTTTGGTTAGAAGGAAGCCTCCCTGACCTCTGGCCTTCAAAAAAAATTATTGATTTGGTAAGAGCATCTCTGTAGTTGTGCTTGGTAAAGCGAGGGTGATGGTGGCGAAAAGGGTTGCTGTGATGGAAAGGAAAGCCATTACCCTGAAAGACAGAACCAGCGAAACAAGCTAGCAGGAATATCAAAGCCAAAGGGGAAAGAGAGGGACCCATTCTTTTAGGCTACACCAAAGTAAACCAACTACAACCAACCTGCAACAAGCAGCTGAGGGCCGAATACCTCCCATTGTTATTTATATAGTAAAAGTTGCCTCTCTTACCTCCCTACTTGGTTACAAGTTACCACTACATTTTTTTTCTCTCTTTTTTTTTTTTTTTTTTGCCCCAACAGGTTAGAACAATAAATAAAGTCCACAATCTCTAACAGGTGCCTGGCATTGGCTCATAAATTTTACTCGTTTCCCCAATGTTTTTCAGCATTACTTTATTGAAATGTAGATAACCTTTTTAATTCAATCTTCACTTGCCCGAGAAATAAGAACACGCAGTAAAGCAGGGGAGTGTTAATAACAGAAATTCCCATGATAGTTGTTTTTGTTACATTAATTAGTATTCAGTTAATATGTTCTAGGAAAAGTGTCCAATAGTGTTAATGTCAGGACTGAGGAAGATCTTTGCCATACTTTCCAACAACAAGCCTAAAAGAAAAAAAAATGTTTCTAAAGAAAACAACGGAAATCATGTTGTATAAAATAATTATTTCTATTCACCTTATTTACTGGATTAAATTTGCAGATAAAAACTAAAGGAAATGTTCTATTGTAGACTTGTAGTTATAATTCAAAAAAAAAAAATGTAGAAACGAGTAGGTGATATTAGTACTCATCTCCAATACACATATGATTATTGTACCGTTCACATTAATTTCCACCAATTTGTAAATGTTCGGTCGTACAATCTTGTTTCTCTTCTCCCAAATTTGTTTAAATTGCTCCAATTTCATGCCTTCAGTAATTCAAAGACTATATGCATTGGGCTTACTCTAAATTCTAAAAAAAAAGTAAAGGATCTAACAAATCATGAGAAAATATGATGAAAGGCCAGACTCTTACAATTATAAAAAATATATAGTACTATCAATCTCTATCATACTATCCAAAAGTGAGTTTCTCCATGTGGCAACGAATTATTATTTTTTCGGAAATTTCTTTTAAAGATTGGATCTTTTTTCTTTTTTGTATTCCACATGCGCTGCAACATTATTTAGGAGGGCATTCCCTTAATTCACTGCCAATCAGAAAAGCGTTGGGGCTAGGCTCTGTAAGATGTTTGCCTTAATTATATGAATTATGTGGAGAGGAGCATAAAGGACCCATGTCATGTTGCCAAGCAAAATGGTCAGCAAGTGTTTGATGCAAAGCAACGAAAAGGAAATTGAAAAAGCAGACAGAGAGACCTACAATTTATATTATTGAAACACTGATAGTCCATGTTATCCTGCTAAATAATCTTGTAAAATAAAACTACTTTATAGTAAGGGAAATATTTTAGATCAAAATGTGAAATTTTAGATAAATATGATTTACGAATTTCTGTATATAAAATTGAGTATATGTTAGTGAACAAAGAATTATTACTATTCTAAATGTTCGCTTAACATAAATTTTTGGATTAGTTACTATATTGTAGTTTTTCTTTTTATATTTAAATTAAGATTATTTATAATTATAATCGTTAGCAATCATATAATTTATTGATAGAATGATATATAAATAGAGTTCAATTTCTAACTCTCTCAAACATAAAAAAATATATATTATTCATAACTCTTATCATATGTCCCTCCCATCTACATTAGGTATTTAATTGATGGGATTAAGTTCCAGTAAAGCAAAGAGACATAATTAAGTTTGATCAATGGGAATTATTCTCAAAGTTCAATCTAAGTGACTAAAGCTTCTATAAAATAAACAAAATGAATATAAATGGAAGACGGAGAAAAATAAAGAGAATGAAAAACTTTTGGTGAGAAAAAGATATAATGGGCAAAAAATTCGACCCAATATTTGCATGTGCTATTCTGAAATTCCGCCCACATGCAAAAGCATGCAGTCATGTCCCCGTCTTCTATCCGTCTCTCATAAAAGCGAAGAAGACGCTAATAAGTTGCGGTGGAAAGCTGACACAAACATTACTCTGATTACAGAATGTTGAAAATGAAATGTGAAAGAATTAGGGCAATGCAAGTAACTGAGAATGAGACGGATCTCGACTTACATTGCAGTGCATGGGCCTTCAAATCAAACTCAACCAACTAAAATCACTGAGCGTATATATGAGATTATAATCACTAATTCCTCAACCAATGACATTCTAATAAAGTTAAAGAAAAATAAGGCCGGACCAAAGCAACAGCTAGTCAGCCTCCTAATTCCTAAGCTCTTTCTTTAAAAAAGCAAGTCTTCAGTCTTCTTCACTTTACCTGATCAGCAAAGCTTGCATATTGCAATTTGAAACTGATAGCACGCAGCCTCATGATTGTTATTCTCTGAACTCTCTGCTCTACGTGTCTGGGGTGATGGACCGTGGTTTCATTATTTTCTGTTAGTAATTACTAGTGTTTTGCATCCTGCGATTTCCGGTCTTTGCAGTGAATTGGAGTCATTTTTTCAACACTTTGGGCATCCTATGTGGGTTTGGGGACCATACCTTACCACAACTCATCCTCGGTCCTGACCGCTGTCAAGTTAATGAAAAATTAATGGCACTTTTCTATGAAAACTCTTGACCTAAAAGAACTTTGGGACAAGTGGATAAATCAGATGATTTCATGTTCAAATTCTTCTACTCTGAGAAGTTCAGTATATTATACGATCAATATGTATATATATATATGAAGAGTGTCTGTATTTGATGTATTATCAATATATAGCATATAGATATTACACATTATCGATATATCATACAAGGACACTTCATAAAATTATTACATGATTCATTCATAATACATCAAATATAAATCTGTATATATTGTTGACAGAGAGAATTTGGGCTGCAGGTTGAGCCTCATTCACGAAAGTGGGAACGTGAGTTAAGTTATTATATATATGAAGAGACAAGCCCAATGGATCTAGTTGGGTTATGCCCAATAAAAATTGAATACAAGGCGGGAATCTTTCACCTTTAAAACTCACTACGAGAATCTGTAGTAATCACTAAACCCACACTACCGCTTCTTTGGTAGGTGAATTTAGATATAAAATTTTGCATATAACTATAACCGTAATTTTTGAATGAATTGCAAACAATTTATAAACAGAGCAAAATCTCCTAAACTAAAGCTTTTTATTAATTCTAGTAGAAGAGCAATTTGGCATGTGATGGTTGATCAAACCAACACAAAAACAAAATAATTAAAAAAAAAAAGGGAGGTAAGTACATTTAGCTTTCAAGTTTCAACTCAAACGGAGAGAGAAGGGAGTATCAGTAGAATTTAAGGCTACCGAGGAGGATGTGATTATCTCGGACTCTGTGGTGGATCAATCCAAGAGCATGTCTTCCTACATTTTCTATTAGAGCTAAACGACCAATCACCTTATGGTCACCACCTGCTTCTGGTTTCTCAAGTTTAATGTAGATGGATCAACTGAGGGTAAATCAGGGCCAGCCGGTTGCGGTGGGGTGCTGAGAAATTAATACTGACAGTAATATTCTGGCTCTATTTTCTGGTCCAGTGGTAGTTTAAGTGTCTATTTGAATTCAATTACATTTTTAATATAATAAGATTGAATTACTATACTATTAATTGAATTCAAATATTAATTTTAATAAAATCTATTAAGTATAAATTTTTTATTAATTTTTTTAATCACAATTATAATAACTATTTTTATCATAATTACTATAATTTATATTATTATTTTCAATCTCACTATAATAAATTTTACTATCATCTAAATAATACCTAAGACTCTAATATTTATGAACCATTGGCGATTCATGAAATGATCGGAGGAATAAAGTGGGGTCACTAATTGAATGAGACTCCAAAATTGCTGTCAATTGATTGACTAATCTTCCTCATTCTCACGATTAAAAACGTATATAGTAATAGTACAGATTCTTTTTTTTTAACTATTACGTAAAGGTTAAAACTTAATTTTGAAAAAGTAGACCCAGGGACAAAAAAGGCTCTAAAGAAAGTGACATTACCGAACGAATTTGATCACTTTATTTTGTGCGTCAGCTTTCCAGCTCTGTTCTCTGTTTAGTTAGATGCATATAAAATTAAGCAAAGAATGTAAGGAGAAATAGAAAGTCGGTGTGGTTGAATGCAGAATTACAGATAATCAAACCACCGCGACGTACAATATGGGAAATCCTGTTACCGTGAAACTAAGCACCGCCAGCTTGTTTGGGCCTTCAAATTTTCAAATTTCCAAATACACCGACTTTTCTTATATAATTAGAAAATGATTGAATGGTATATATTGATCCTCAAAATAAAAATAAAGAGTTAATGATTTAAGATCTTGACTGGTCCTAATTCCCTCCTAAATATCATTATTAATTTCTCTTTAATCTTTAGATAGTTAAGACTTCCTTTGTCCTATTTGGATAATGTGCTTCCTAAATTATTAGAAGTAATTAAGATGTCTTTACTTTTTTTGAAGAAAAAAAAGTTTAAATATTAAATTTATTAAATATTACTTTTTAATAAATGATAAAATGAATAAATTACGTTGAAATTCCGATTCTAAGATGCCTTTATTTTAAAACAAGTCTAAACATTGATAAAATCTAAATATAGTTTGGGGGAAGCTTCATTGTTTCAGCAGCAGCAGCAGCACATGTTTTTGCACAAACTCCGAGGATTTTCAACAAGTATTTGCATGCAAGTTGCGATCCGATTTTCTTTCTTTGATTTACGCAAAAGCAACTTGTAAAATTCTTGAAGTCTTCGAACGCCTTGCTTGGTTATGCGGTTCCCAACTTGCCATCAACTTTCCCATAACACTCCATTTTTCCAATGGGCAAAATTTGCTGTCTCTGCAGTCTGCAACGCTTATTCTTGTCAAATCTAGTGAACACTTTATCTCTATTAACTTCACAAATGCCAGTGATTGGTAATTAGGCTAGGTTAATGATTACTAAAATTATTAAATAAAGTCTCATAGGATAATGATGAGTAAGTGGCAAACATGTTGCGGCTCATTATAACATTATAATTAGATACTTAACTATGTTTAATCAAAGTGAGGCCATAAGTCCATGGATGCTTTGTTCTTACTTGTCTGACTTGGCCAATGATATATATAATATGCTAAGAAGAATCGGCTTCAGTTTAGTTTTTGATCTAGTCAATCCATCAACCAATCAGCCAATCGGCCAATCACCACATTACTTTTCCTGACTTTGATTAATATTCAATCCAAAACATACGTTGGAGAACTGACATCTTTAGAGCGTGTTGGCTAGGGTATTATAGCATTTTTTTTTTCCAACAAGATAGTCGTCCCAGCTGGCAAAACAATCCCAAATTCCAACGTCAATAACCTAAGCCCACTTGGGCAAAGAACTATAGGACATGTGGACAAATAACTTTTGGATTCAAGTCAAACGGACTTTCAAGGTCGACTTTACAAGCATTATGTACTCGCTTGAGATCACCGACGTTGGCTGAAACTGACAGGATTTTACCTTAAGGCCATTGGGAATAAGAGTCATAGATAATTAAATGATGAAACGTGTGGCCCAGGGTGCCAGGCGTTTGTTTTACGGTTCACCAAAACAAACTCCTTAATGTCATCACTAGCTATCCAATTTAGGTGATAAAATGTGATACGTGATTTCCATCTTGAATTAGTTTTAACATCGTTATATTTGGTTTTGAACACGTATATTTACATTGTAAAAGAGATAATGGTGAAATAGCTGTTCTACATATATAATTTTATGAGTAATTAGGGATGTAAATAAATAAAATTTTTGATAAATCGTTCATGAATATATTTAATTTATATTCGTTTATTTAGTTTAACAAATAATCTTAAACATTATTTATATTTTTATTTATTAAATAAATCACATACGAACAATTATTTGTTTGTTTATTTATGTTTACAAACAAATTTGTTTAAAATTTATTTAAAATTCATTTGTTTATTAGTCGTTTATTATTCGTTTGTTTGATAACAATAATGATGTATTTGATTTGAGAGAATCCAAATATTTTTTTTCGAAATTTTATTATTGGATATTTAATTTAAATATTTGATTCAAAATAATCTAATTTAAAAAAAAATTGATAAATTTTTAATAATACCCAAAGCCCTGAAATAAAATATGCATCTCTCACTATGGTATTTTAGGATTCTGGAGGAGAAAGTAATGTTATTTTTAAATTTGATTTGATTAAAAAATTATGAAATAGCTATTACCATTTTGAAAAGCATGTTTAGAAATGAATGCAAGTTAGTTGTAGGTTTTTACTGATAAAAATTTTGATTTATTTATGGTGTTTGGTATGAAAAATGCTTTTAATAATCATTTACAAAAAATTGAATGGAGTTATTAAAGGCATTTCTAGTAAAAAAACACCTTGAATAATTCATTTCAATTTTTTAAAGGCATTTTTAGAGGTTATTGAAGGTGTTTCTGGTAAAAAATACATTGAATAATCTTTTTTAATTTTTATTGAAGTATTTTTGGTTAAATACTACTTGAATAACTCAATTTAATTTTTTATAAAAGATTATTCAAAGCTTTTTCTGACTAAAAATGTCTTGAATAATAATAATAATAATAATAAAAGATAGGGATTATTCAATACCTTAAATAATATATTTCAATTATAAAAACACTGGAATAATTCAATTGGTTAGAGGATAAAACTATTAACTTTAAAATCATAGGTTTGATCTTTTCCTTTAGTGTTTTTCCTCTCATTTTTTTAAGGGATTATTTAAGATATTATTGACAAAAAACGTCTTGAATAACTCAATTTAATTTTTTGTAAAAGATTATTCAAGGTCCAATTCAATTTTTTATAATAGATTATTTAAGGAGTTTTTAGGTTGCCTTGAATAATCCAATTTAATTTTTTGTAAGAGATTATTTAATGTGTAATCTCCTTCCATTTTTTTAAAGAATTATTTCAAGTGTTATTGGCCAAAAACACCTATAATAACTTAATTCAATTTTTTGTAAGGAATCATTCAATATGTTTTTTGATAAAAAATACCTTGAATAAATTTTTATTGATTATTCAATGAGTTTTTTGCTAAAAAATACTTTGAATAACCTCATTTAAATTTTTTATAAGAGATTATTCAATGTGTTTTCTGACTTAAAACACCTTCAATAATTCTAAAAAAAATGAAAAGTGATTATTTAAGACTTTTTTTGTCAAAAATACATAAAATAATCCATTCATAAAAATTACAGGAGATTATTCAACACATTTTTTACCAAAAACATATTGAATAATACAATTCAATTTTTTATAATGAATTATTTAAGGTGTTTTCTGACAAAAAAATCTTAAATAATATTCTCATAAAAATTAAAAGAGATTATTCAATACATTTTTATTTAAAAAATACATTAAGTAACTCTATTCAATTAACTGAATACGATTATTTAAATTATCATCAAATATGTTTATTTATATATATTCATGAACATGTTCATTTAATTTTCACAAATAAACTCATTTAGTTTAAATGAACTGAATACAAATAAATACAAACATCTTATTATTTAAACGAATCAAATTTAAACATAATTAATAAATTTTTTATCAAATACGAATCAAACTCAAATAACTCTAAAAATAAATGAATAAATCACGAACATATATTGGTTTGTTCATATTCTATTCATTTACAACTCTACGAGTAATGCAATTAAATTTATAAAGTAAATAAGATTAGGCTAAAGCTGATAAATATTTTAGACGACCATCCATGCGCGGATAAACCGATGAAAAATTCCAATGGGAATTAGGCAAGTAGCTAGCACATGTCCCGCCCCTGCAGGAATAAACTACTATATATCTTTCGGTAGTTGGTAAATATGTTTGTAATTTTGCGAAACAGCTAGCCTGGCATCAAGCCGGAGAAGAAGACGCGTTTTCAATGAAATCTTGACAGTTGACTTCAATTTATAAAAAAATTTATGATCTACTCTCTAAAATACGCTAACACAAAAGCCATAAATTGCTAAAATATTGCATGATATATAGAAATAGAATCATCCTACTTTCTCCACCTTCAAGTACATCTAATCCACGAACGCAAATTCTCCATAATCAGCTCAGCTCTCCTTTGTTAAAGAAATCGAAAGCTATGGCTTCCAAGCTTTGCTCTCTTCTAACAATATCTCTGTTCGTTCTGCTTCCTTTCTTCATATCTCCTTCTCTTGCAGATGCTCCACCATCTGATCCTGTCTCACCAGGAACAATTTGCAAGTCCACCCCTGACCCTTCTTATTGCAGATCTGTGCTTCCTAATCAAACCACCAATGTCTACAGCTATGGTCGATTCTCCGTTCGCAAATCTCTGTCACAGTCCCAAAAATTCCTCAAATTAGTTGAGAAATATCTAAAACAATACCGATCCTCATTATCAACAACCGCAATTCGTGCTTTAGAGGATTGCCGCTTTCTAGCTGGCTTGAACATGGATTTCCTGTTGAGCACCTTTAAAACTGTCAATGCCACTAGTAAAACTCTGTCCCCTGTCGAAGCTGATGACATACAAAGCTTTCTTAGTGCTATTTTAACTAACCAGCAGACCTGTTTGGACAGCATACAATCCACTGCTTCAGCTTGGAGCATAAGGAACGGCCTCTCGGTTCCTCTGTCAGATGACTCAAAACTCTACAGTGTTTCTCTGGCTCTTTTTACAAAAGGCTGGGTTCCTAAGAATAAGAGAAAGGCAGCATGGCAGCCTAGGAGCAAGCAGCTAGGTTTCAAACATGGACGTTTGCTTCTGAAAATGTCTAGCCAAACTCGCTCAATTTATGAGACCGTAAGCAGAAGAAAGCTTCTTCAGACGAGTGATCCTGATGAGGTCTTGGTGAGTGACATTGTGACGGTGAGTCAGGACGGAAGCGGAAATTTCACTACCATTAACGATGCTATCTCAGCAGCTCCAAACAACACCAATGGTGTAAATGGTTACTTCTTGATTTACATCACTGCTGGTGTTTATCAAGAGTATATTTCCGTTGCTAAGAACAAAAAATACTTGATGATGATCGGTGACGGTATCAATCGGACAATTATCACGGGAAACCGTAGCTTTGTTGATGGTTGGACAACATTTAACTCCGCAACTTTTGGTAAGTTATAGTTCAAAAACCATTTTAAGTAACTTCATGTGAAACTGCATTAATTTTCACTATTTCCTGTCTAAACACAATATGAGCTTAATCTCACAAATTTTGCTTAATATTACAGCTGTAGTGGCTCCAAATTTTGTTGCGGTAAACATAACTTTCCAGAACACAGCTGGAGCAATCAAGCACCAGGCAGTCGCAGTTCGAAATGGGGCTGATTTGTCAGCATTCTATAGCTGCAGCTTCGAAGGATACCAAGATACTTTGTATGCTCATTCCTTAAGGCAGTTCTATAGAGAATGTGATATCTATGGAACTGTTGATTTTATATTTGGAAACGCTGCGGTTGTTTTCCAGAACTGCAACATATTTCCTACACGGCCAATGAGTGGACAATTCAATGCCATCACTGCACAAGGCCGGACTGATCCTAACCAGAACACGGGCATATCAATTCATGAATGCAATATCATGGCTGCTGATGATCTGGCCTCGAGCAATACCACCTTCAGTACGTATCTAGGGAGACCATGGAAGGAGTATTCGAGGACTGTATATATGCAAAATTTCATAGGAAGTTTGATTGATCCTGCTGGTTGGAGAGCATGGGATGGAGACTTTGCCCTGAGTACATTATACTATGCAGAGTATGGCAATAGTGGACCTGGATCAAACACTTCCAGTAGGGTCACATGGTCTGGTTACCATGTGATTAATGCTACCGATGCTGCTAATTTCACTGTGTCCGGCTTCTTGCTGGGAGAAGACTGGTTACCAGTTACGGGAGTGCCTTACACTGCAAGCTTAATATGAGCAACTAATTTGTCAGATGAAATTATGCATTCTTTCAATTTTTTTGGTCATTATATTTATGATGTATAATAAGCGTGAAAATACCTGAGCTATTCAAGTGTACGGCTTGGTATTAATTGGAAATCAAATGTTAATTGATACTAATGCTTTCAATTCTTCATTTAAATAAAAAGATAAAAAGAAAAAAAGAAAAAAGAGAAAATGCGACAAGACTATTCACTTACTGATCATTCATGCTACAACGATCTAATCCACCGTCCCACGTTTGTTGAACAGGCCTAAATCACTCAAAATGATAAAATATTACTTAATTATCTTAATCTGAAAATTACATGTGGTGGTGCTCCACTAAACAGCAAGCTAGGTAGTTGAATGATTAAGTAGTGAAAATTAATTAAAAAACAAAACTCCATGATAAGGTTTCGTTTTTGTCACATGCATTTTTATAATTTAATCTAATATGATTTTTTCGCAACTAATAGTAATTTCTTTATTTAAAGCCAATTGCGTATATATGTAGCATAATTATAAAAAACCTATTTGTGAAGTAACTTAACTATGATCATATATCGCCAGTTTGTTGGTGACCAGATTTTATTGAAAGGACCTTGTTGTCATGTCCCACTGCTTGATTAATCAAATAACATGTAATCTTTGCTTCCTTTAGAAAAAAGTTGTTAGAAAATGGAATGCTGATATGCAATGAAAGATAGTGTAAATTACTACTAAAACATTAATATATAATCCACCGGGCATGAAAAAGGAAATCCCTTGGAGGAATTCGAACTAACATTAAAGTGTCCAGGTCATTCTACACAGTTGCCCCTGCAAACCTCTCCATTATAGCCATTCCAGTCATCTATAATATGTTTTGACTTTTGTCTTTCTTATTAACAAATAGTAGTTTGGTGCCACTTAAAATACTTTGAATTTTGAAAGGAACAAGTGCAATTATATATTATTAATCATTGTACTTGGATAACGCCAATATGCCACATAATAATAATAATAATGGTACATTGTCAAATTCTCAAAGAGCCGCAGGCAACGATATCCAATTGTCTTCTGTTCCGAGAACCTTTATTTTTATCGCTTATATCTTTGCAATATGCAACAATTACATAAAACTTTGGCTGCAAGGGAACATCTGAAATGCACCAGAGTTTTAGCACGTTTAATTTCACAACAGAAATTAAAATCGAGTATTCTCAACAAAGTAATTAGGAATAATTAATAGCAGCAAATGAAGATAGGCGAGTATATCTCTTAATTTGTAGCCAAAAGATTGACGATGTCCAAGGCGTTGCTACATAGCTGGCGAAAGACGTTATTCTTATTAAACAGCTCCATTTCTTCGCCCGGACTTTGCTTGATCAGCTGAGTCTCACAAGTGGTTGCATCGGTAATGGCAGCTTCCAACCAGGTTTTCACATCTTCGTAATTTTTTGATACCAGGGCTTCCAGGGAATCATCAAGCTGCTCCATTGCGGATACGTAATTTTCTGAACAATCTTCGAAGTTCTGCTCGACTGTAGGTTCCAAATTTGTACCATCGAGTGTCTTCTTGATGTAGACGGATGTGTCTGAGCCATTTTTAGAAGCGACCTCGACAGCTATCAAGGCAAGGGCAGCTAGGTCGGCGTCTTGGCTGGCATATTCAGCCTCAAGGCTTGAGATGCAGAGATCCTTGTACTTGGCCTTTTGACAGGTTTCCGCAACTAAGCTGTTATTACCAGCAGCGTTTAGTAAGGGCAAAAAAGAGAGGCAAAGGAAGAAAGACAAAAGCAAGGCAGCATTATTTGCGATAGGCTTCATATTTTTCTCCTCTAGTTTCTGGCTTTTCCCGCTTTTTCCAATTGGAACTTTGGAAGGAATCGTAATGCTTAGCTTGTGCTTTAAAAAATGTCAGTTGAAACAAGAATTCCTAAAAACTACCATTGTACAACATCACTCTTATCTTAAAAAGGTGGGAAATTAAACAGAAAGAGAATTGGCTGGCCAAAAAAGAAACAGAAAGAAAGAGCATTGACCGCTAACCCAAAGAAAGATGCGCGGAGCCACTCACTTTGAAGCCGCTGGAGAATGGTGTGGTTTGAATAAATGCGTACCATACGCTGAATTCACTGCCTTGATCATGAAGGTTTTGTGACTACTAACAAATTGCAAATACTGGTACATACTATATGCCCTGTTTGAGAGATGAAAGTCAATTTAGACTCGTAACAAATAAAAGGGCATTTCATTTCCGCAATTCCTTAATCAGTACGCTTATTCTTTTCATGGAACAATGATTATACTTGAAAAGCTTGATATCCTGTTTAATCAAATTAGCCCGAAATTATATAAAGAGAAGAAAGATATTTTTTTCACTAATGATAGCCCATACTTATTGGACTCCTTTTGGGAGACTTTGACTTGTTGTTAGGCTGGACTGGGCCAGAATTTCAAGGCCATAGCCCACCCTCCCAAAAAGGCCAAAAAAAAGGGAAGAAGGAACTCGCGCTTCTCTAATCATATGATCATACTGCTGTTCGGCCAATGTCACAATCTTACATTTTTTTTTTTATCTTTAATAAGACTTACAAACTTATGTTTTACTTTTTAATTACTTAAAAGTTTCGTAGTACTTAGTTACTATTGGCGGTAACATCTGAAAAATTCATTGCCTAGATTTGCTTGTTTTCCAGTCAAAGTAATTCCTCCATGTTCAGCCATGATTGAACTGTGCAGGAACATCTAACAAAAGTTTACAGATTCAAAGCAAGAGTTGCTCAAGCTGGGCAACGAATGGTTGACACGTTTGCAAAATCAAAGCGCCAGCTCTCTTTCAAGAACTGTGTCTTTGCTAACAGCAGTTCTTTTTTTTTTATTATTTTCTCTCATGCCAGAGATACCAAACCACGCCATTTTTGAGTAAATGCGTTTTAGATTCTACTACTCCTAGTCCTATTATACGTTCCAAATCCTCTTCAGACTCAGAATCAGATTAGCCGAACCGACATCCTCAACACCCGTTAATCTGTCTTCTCCAGTGGGGACCTCCATAAGAATTCCCATCCTTTCTAGCTCTTGTGTTTTCATGGGGCAACTCTCCATCTTCAACGTCGACCGTGATGACGAAGACGATAACGAAGGAGAAGAAGAAGAAGAGGCAGTAGCGGAAGAAATCTTCATTTCAATATCTTCTCTAGGAGTCTCTAAACCGGCTGCTTCAGCCACTGGAATGACGGTCTGCTCTAATATTTTAGGTGGGTTGACCAGAATATCAACTTGGACCGGAGCTCTACACAGTGGACAGTTAGAGTGACTATAAAACCACATGTCGATACAGCCAACATGGAAGTTATGACTACACTTGGGTAAAACGCGGACTTTCTCGTCGTTCTCGAACTCAGACAAGCAAACGGCGCATTTGCATGGAGGGAAATGGCTGGCTTTGGTGGAGTAAACAACAGTAGGGATTGTTTTAATAACAGAAGGATCCAAACCTTTGAAAGCAACGGTACTGGTTGGAGTGGCAGAGGAAATGGAGAGCAATTGCTGAGCACGACGGTGGGTGTAACGCCGACGGCGGTTGCGGAAGAGGAGACCAGCGTAATTGTGAAAGCAGATTATGAAAAGTAATGCTATGAAGAGAAAGATGGCTGCGCAGAGCATTACTTTTCCCTGAAGAGCATAATTGATGCGTTTCCTTTGTAAATCCATGTGGTTATCCATGAAAGATTAGAGAAAGAAATTAAGGAAAGGTATGGGAGAAGGAGAAGAAAGGTTGGTTGTGGGGGGTCATGGAGAGAAGAGGGAAAGGGAAAGGGAAAGGGTGAGGAAGGTTCCTATCTGATGATCAGTTTGATGGGTTTGGATTTCTTTATCTTCGATTTCGGTTTAATTTTGGCTTTGATGAGTAAAATGGTAAGTAAACCTGACAGGCTTTTATTATTTTATCAGCAGCTGCAGGGCCTTCGTCAGCCTTGCCTTTGTGTGTTTGTTATTCTATCGTCTTCTTCTACTCTTTCTTTGCATGTAATTATACTGAGAGCGCTTCTTTTTCACACATTTTTTTTTAAATTATCTTAGAGTAAAATTATTTTTTGGGGGAAAAAGTAGATTCTTTTTCTGTTCAAGTTAACAAAAGTAAAAAATTACTACTGCTACTGCTTCTTTCTTACTTAAACCAAATATAACTAGGTAACAATGAGAAAAGGTCAGACATGATCAGATCACAGGCAGTTCTCTCTCTAAGCTCTTGAAATGTTGTCTCGTTATCCAGTTTTACCTTCTTAAATTAAAAGGGCAACATAAATTTTCTGTGGGCTCAAGGGTACATGCTATGGCCTATGCACCTTATATGCCAACGCAATTTAACCAAGTTCGCTAATAAAAACACGAAAAGGGATAGGATAATTGAATCATATCACACTCGTTAAAAAATATATATATATATTTGTGATGCATTGATCCTTATCCAAATAATTTGTTCCCATATTAGCAATTGTTTGGGGCCGATATTCTTTATATAAGTTGAATCCATTGCGTCATTTGCTTTAATTTTTTCTATTATTTTCTTGTTTTCATGTTTTGAATAGCTATGCAGTTCATAAAAATTCTTGAAAAGCTACTGTTCAGCTTAAAAAACGATAAAGTTATAGAAGCATTAATTCGTGGTTAACTTCTTGAGTACTCCGCGCGTCATGTAAAAATGAAACCGCTGGATTAATACTTAAAAGCTAACAATCAACCGTAGATTAAAAAAAAAAAAAGGCTCGAACCAACTAATGGTCAAACATTCCTATTTCCTACCTCCAAAACCATGTGCCTAGTCCAACCGCCAAAGTTTCGATGGGTTTCATTTTTCTGTGGGGTAAAGGAAAGGAGAAGAACATCAACTTGCTTGACTTGATAGCACATGTAATTAATTTTTTAATTTAAAAACTTATTTTATTTGTTACATATTATTTAAAATAAATTTCTCAATCTTTTAATTTTGTTCATAAATTAAGAAATTATAATATATCAAATATTAATTTTTTAAATTTATCTCAAAGACGTCAAGTACGAATTAATGGTGGGCAAGGACGGGGCCAAGGGACAAGGGAGTCTAGAAAAGGAAAAGAACACTCAAGGTTAGAGACTTGTTGTTCGAACTCGGAATAAACGCATTACGACACTGTGAAACGACGAAAATGTACTTCGCACATTATAATTCATGCCATTTCATATTGCTTGCTAGTAAACAAAATAAGTAGTTTCAATAGTTCTGACTTCCCTTGGATGCTCTCAATTGTCATGGCTTTTATAATTTCAGGCTTTGAAACTTTGTATTTGAAAATTTTTAAACTAGTTTGGCAAGTGAAATAGGGAAGTTCCCATCCCTTATTCCAGGGATTACTTCTCTTGTTTTAGCTTATATCGATTCCTATCCCACCTGGTAGTCTAGTCTTTTCCAAAGTATATACCTAATCAAAATGAAGTGAAATCAGTTGTTTGTTTTATTCATCTAGATATTCCTGCTTGTTGCCAACTCGTATTGAAGTTCGTTAGATGTAGACCATATAAAGTATTTCCTTCATATCTCACCCTTCGATCACTTCCCAAAATTTTCCTTTGTCAAAAATATATAAATCCCTTTGATGACAGAACTCCATTTAACCAAAACAGTTTGGGTTTGCTTTGAACATCAATTCTTTAACCTTTTTGTTTTGCTTCATCACTGATTTGTAACTTCTCTATAGCTAAAGTACTATATATATATATATATATTATACTTAAATTAACCCAATTTTTCAACCGTCTTCCCGTGGAAAAAGAGAAGGTATTGATTAAAGAATCAACCAAATTTAGCTTACTCACGGAATCCTCGAGGATATAACACATTTCAAAAAAATATGTGGACCAAATTTCAAAGTTGACTTCCCACTCGATCGCTTTGTTATTCTCTCCCTTCCATAACCAGCTCTAATAGAATATGTACTACTAATAATTAGTACGCGGAATAAGGAAGCATATGGCATATAGGGAAATGGCTACTAGCTCTAATTCATGCATGCCACCCTACCTAAACGACTCTTCCCACTTCCCAAATTTATCCATGCTTTAATATATAATAACATATAGACACAAAAGAATCTATCTTACCAACAACTTTTTATGCTTGAGTTCCAATCAGAAAAGAGTTTGCTTGTCATCTACATATTACTAATTACTGCGGGAGAGTTTCGAGAAACTATTAATTTTACGTAAATAGGTAAATAATTATTTCTTTTACATTTATTGGGTTAATTTGTTCCTTAATAATCTTTTCAATTTTTGTCTTAATTTATACTATTTATTTTTTATTTTTAAACTAAATTGGTTTTTAAGAGAAAATAAAAGTTTTGAGAATGTATTTTTTTATAATATTTTTTTAAATAACACGTAATTAAGTTCCTTTTTTCAAAGTCAATTGGGTTACTAAAAGAAAACTTGAAACAAGAAAAAAAAAAAAAAAACATTTCTCAACCATCTTTCTTCTACCATACAATTTTTTTTTCAAAATATATATATTAGCCCAACAACCATTCTCTAAATTAGATGGCCTTTAAAAGAGTTTTGGCTCTTAAATATTGCATTGAAATTCGTACTCGCAGTTCTTTTATGCTAACGCTCTTCCCATGTTCAATTAAAAGATATGTGATATATGAAATCATCGTATTCTTAAATTTAAGCCGCAATGTATACAACCAATTTCCCGACGACATGGCCCTTAATAAATTAATAATATTGGCTTTGTAATTTATCTTTTAGATGTCTAGCAAAGTTGGTTCAACCGATGCTTGCATGTACAATGCAAGAACGATAGGGGATATTTTGATATGATCACTCAAAGAAGGTATTTGGACTGTTTCATAATCTAGAATCGATGCTAAACAACACAATTCCAAATTTCTTTGCTAAATGCTTTTATCTTCTTTCCTTGAATTACAAGCATAGTACATTAATTAGGAAAAAAAAATTACTTCAAGTAATGAAAATGTGTTCATGAATTTTTGTTATTTTCTTCCTATGGCTTGATTTTCTTTAACAATATGTTTGGATAAATATTAATAAATAAAAGAAAAAAAAATTTTAAATAAAGGATATATGTATCATTTGTTTAGATAATTAAAATTAATAAAAAGAAAATCTAACAACCATTGTTTGAATAAAAAAAAGATCCATTATAGTAATATTTTTCAATTATAACATTTCATTGCTTATGATTTTATAGCAGTCATGGACCATGATATATTTGTTATCTTGTCTAACCTCACAATTATTGTTATATCAGTTATTTTTAATCAAGTGAAACAAAAAAATATTTTACAAATGATTGTGAGTTAATCTGACATTTTATAAACCTAAAAAAATATATCTATTCATATTCAATCATTCATTAAAATCAAAAGACCAAAAATTTTAAAATATATATATATTAAAAAAGACATGTGAAATTTACTTAAAAAAATAGATGGCTTTGAAAAAAAATTATAGGATAATTATGATGTGGTTAATTTTTTTTACCAGATTTGTAGTATTAATAAAAAGATAGATATAATAATCTTTTTATAAAAATAAAAAATTTTTAACTTTTTTTCTCTTTAACTTTTCTTCAAATTAAGATATTAAAAAAGTGAGGATTACAATGAAAAATTAAAAGTTATTGAGTTTTTACCTGTTTTTTTTTTCCTTTCAATTAATGCAATGGTTGGATAAATATTAAAAAAAAAAAAGGAAATGGAATGAAAGTTTTTTAAAAGAAAAGAAAATATATATTTACCTTTTGTTTGGATAATTAAAATTAATAAATAAAAAAAATTATAACAACCTTTACTTAGATAAATAGTAAAAAAAATTTTTCATTATAATAATTTTTTTCAATTATAATTATTTATTGTCTGTAATTTTAGAGCATTCATGAATATAATAGTTTTTTCATAAAAATAAAATTTTTTAACTTTCTTTTTTTTTTTAACTTTTACTCTAAATTGGGATATTAAAAAAGTAAAGATTATAAAAAAAATCAAAAGTTATTGAATTTTCATCTTTTTTTTTTAAATTAAAAATTTATCTAAACAAATAAAAAATTTTTATGTTTCCATTACTTTATTTTATTTTATTTTCCTCTCCTTCCCCTTCCTTCAATTTAAATATAGTGTAAAAATTTATCCACATAAATAAAAATTTTTTATTTCCATTACTTTATTTTATTTTCTTTCCTGTCCCCTCAATTTAAACAAAGTGAAAGAAAAAAAAACACACTACTGTTATTTCATTAAAAACTTTTCGTGTGTTTGTCTCTTGTGAATAATTATATGATCTATTTATAGAATATTAAAAATTTAATTTTAATAATAAAAATTCAAATCCTCGTAATTTCAGCAAAAAAAAATTTTCTTGGTTTTCTTTCTTACCAAAATTTCTGCTTCAGCTTTGCCTATTCCTATGTAATGCGGGTAGAAAGTCCACATAAAAAATAACAAGCAAAACCCGAAATCGAAAACTCTTCTAAGAAAAGTTGTTTGAAAAAAGACAAAACTCCACCTTCAAAGCCAAAGCTGAAGCTGTATCCCACTCGGGACAAGGCCTAACTGTGGGAACTCTCGCTACAGAGTACAAGCATTTAGCAACAAAAGCTACAGAGAAAAATTGTCTGAAACCGAACATGGAGAAGATAGAGCACACCGTGGTGACCACCAACGGCATAAAAATGCACGTGGCATCGGTTGGTTCAGGTCCGGTAATTCTTTTCCTGCACGGCTTTCCCGAGCTTTGGTACTCCTGGAGGCACCAGCTTCTTTCCCTGTCATCCCTCGGGTACCGTTGCGTGGCTCCCGATCTTCGTGGGTTCGGTGATACCGACGCGCCTCCCTCGGCGACTTCATACACTGTTTTCCACATCGTGGAGGATCTCGTTGGCCTTCTCGACGCGCTTGGTGTTGACCAGGTGTTTTTGGTGGGGCATGATTGGGGTGCGGTTATCGCTTGGTATTTTTCCCAGTTCAAGCCTGATAGAGTCAAGGCTTTGGTCAACATGAGCGTGGCGTATCCGCCTAGGCACCCCACGGAAAAGCCCGTGGAACAACTCAGGGCTTTGTTTGGTGACGATTATTATGTTTGCAGGTTTCAGGTAATTGATTCTGCCATAAAATTTCAAGTTACTTCCCTGTTTTCTCTTCTCTGTTCGGAATTGCCATTCATTACAATGACTTTATTGGGTAAAACTGCAGCTGGAATTGGTTGACTACATATTTGCCTTGTTGAACTTTCCATTTGCATGTAGTTTTGAACCCATCATCACAAAATACAATTATCCATTTCCCCTCTTTTTTAAAAAGATATTCTTTGACTAGAGTGAGTCAAAAATTGTTGTTTGCTAATACATTGATTGTTTTGCATGGGAGAATTGCTTGAATTAATGGGAGTATGGACTTTTTCTGGTAGTTAAAGTAGCAGATAATGTGATTTTGATATAATTGGGTTCTCGAATCTGTTTTTGGTTAATGGATTTTCAGCATTTAAGTTTCTTGCCTTTCCGGCTCCACTTATTTTTGGCTTGGATTATCATTACAGTCCCTATCTACTTTTAAAGTAATAAAATCCAGCGTCCCAGGACTACTAATAGTATTAGAAGACAAACTCAGGTTGTGGGCTGACTTTGGATGATTTCTACATACTCCGATCTCCATTCTGAACTTTTATGATGAATAATAATTTCTCACAAATGGTTGCTATGAGGTGTGATTAATGAAGGAAGCTATAGTCAACTCTGCTGGATCCAAAAACAAGATTATAGTGAAGCTTAGACTACTCAAAACTGTACACTATACCTCAACCGAGTATTTATGTTGTCAATATTTTTTACATGATCGAGACCACATTTAGTATACGGATTTTTCTTGTTACAGCAAAAGCAATGGCTCTTTATCTTTTTCTCATTCCCTACCTTTTCCCTTGGGAACAAATTGTCAGAGATTTTCAAAATAAATTATGGGAAATAATTCCACATTGAAAAAAGAACAGAAAAGACAATCGTTTAAATTAAGAGGAGTGGAAGTCTAATGCAGTTGGACTTGAGTGGCTAAAGTGCAAAGATGGACCATGAGCTTGGATTTTCTAGCTTGATTGGTCTTGCATTAATTAAATAATTTTGCGCACCAACTAGTAAATAGTGCAGTGGGAGAGAATAAAATCTTAAAGAAAATGGTACAGTTACATGCCTCGGAGCTTTCCTCAAAATTTCTGATTTACCAGAAGTAGTAATTCCAGATTTTCTGATTTTTGTTCTAACACAAATATTTCAAAAAAGTCTTTGTATTAGCTTGCTTAAATTTAAAAACATCGATATCTGAAATACTTTCTCTTAATAGGTATAAGTTGTTTGATTATCGGGCGTTCACTTTTCTTCTTTTCAGTTATCTTAAATCCTTAAATCTTATATCTATTCAAATTTACTTTCATGGTATATATTCTTCATTATTCTGTAGGAACCTGGGGAGATTGAAGAAGACATTGCTCAGATGGATACTGCAAAAGTTATGAAGATATTTCTTACATCTCGCAATCCACGTCCACCTTGTATTCCTAAAGAAACAGGTCTCAGAGGTTTCCCTGATCCTCCAGCGTTGCCTTCTTGGCTTTCAGAAGAAGACATCAATTACTATGCTAGCAAATTTAATCAAAAAGGATTCACCGGAGGACTGAACTATTACCGAGCTTTGAATCTGTAGGTGCAATTGTGCATGCTAAGATTGTTGAGCTCTCATTTCTGTTTCATTTTTCTGCTGAATTTTGACCGATATGCTAACTAGCTAATCTTCTCTTGGTGCTTGATCCTTTCTTCAATGTCTTTCACTTATATTTTGGAGCCCTGATAAACTTTACAAATTTTCTATATTATTTCATGAGGATTAGATAAACATGAAATTAGGAACCTAGATGTTCAGTACAACGCTTGGTGGAGCAGTTATTGGAGATGATTTGCATTCATATCATTCAACACATCTAGTTTCATTATCTTGACATTTCATAATAATTACTTAATTGAGCAGAGAACATGATACTTTCCAGCACTATTTCATCTCTCTCTTCATTTTGTTTAGGCATCATTAGAACTTGAGGACTTAATTCCTCAAAAGTCAAAACTTGAAAAAGCTGGATCAATCATTGAAAGGCCTGTTTGTGTAGCCAAGCTAATTCAATCATCCTTGTTGCAGAAGCTGGGAACTGATGGCACCATGGACTGGATTACAAATCAAAGTGCCAGTTAAATTCATCGTGGGCGACCAGGACATTACCTACATCCCTGGTGTCAGGGAATATATACACGAGGGTGGATTCAAGAAACATGTGCCTTTCTTGCAGGAAGTAGTTGTCATGGAAGAAGTAGCCCACTTTCTAAACCAAGAAAAGCCCGAGGAGATTAGCATGCACATTTATGACTTCATTAAGAAATTCTGATTCTCATCTCCTATGGTACCTGACCTCCCTTGACGTTCAGATTCTACAATAAAGTGTTAAGACGTTGCAATGGACCTGCTTAGCTGTTTTTGATGCTTTCCTTTTTTTCTTCCAACTAGTGGAATAAGTGTTGGTGCAGTGCCTTATATACGCTTATGGAACTCAAAGTTGGTTCTGATTACATATAAGATACTATGGAGAATAAAGAGGCTGTGATAAAGGTCTTGCTAAGAAGTCAAGGCTAGTCGGTCACTTTTAAGCGTTCAGTTCATTTGTCTATCGAACTGAAGCTTTATAATAATCTTCATCAAGCAACTTATTTTCAATCGAGATATTCCATTTAACATTACAAAGTAAAATATGAATGAAATTAACAATTTACTACTATCTTCAACTTTTTTTTTTTTTAGATGTAAGAGACCAAAATATGAAAATAAAAAAGAATTACAAGTATTGCAATTCGAATTTTAAATTTATTAAATAATATTTCATAAAAATGATGCATGAACCTATCTAGTCATGTTCGAGATTCAACTATTTTTTTTTTAAATTATCTTAGAGTAAAATTATTTTTTGGGGGAAAAAGTAGATTCTTTTTCTGCTCAAGTTAACAAAAGTAAAAACTTACTACTGCTACTGCTTCTTTCTTACTTAAACCAAATATAACTAGGTAACAATGAGAAAAGGTCAGACATGATCAGATCACAGGCAGTTCTCTCTCTAAGCTCTTGAAATGTGGTCTCGTTATCCAGTTTTACCTTCTTAAATTAAAAGGGCAACATAAATTTTCTGTGGGCTCAAGGGTATATGCTATGGCCTATGCACTTTATATGCCAACGCAATTTAACCAAGTTCGCTAATAAAAACACGAAAAGGGATAGGATAATTGAATCATATCACACTCGTTAAAAAATATATATATTTGTGATGCATTGATCCTTATCCAAATAATTTGTTCCCATATTAGCAATTGTTTGGGGCCGATATTCTTTATATAAGTTGAATCCATCGCGTCATTTGCTTTAATTTTTTCTATTATTTTCTTGTTTTCATGTTTTGAATAGCTATGCAGTTCATAAAAATTCTTGAAAAGCTACTGTTCAGCTTAAAAAACGATAAAGTTATAGAAGCATTAATTCGTGGTTAACTTCTTGAGTACTCCGTGCGTCATGTAAAAATGAAACCGCTGGATTAATACTTAAAAGCTAACAATCAACCGTAGATTAAAAAAAAAAAAAGGCTTGAACCAACTAATGGTCAAACATTCCTATTTCCTACCTCCAAAACCATGTGCCTAGTCCAACCGCCAAAGTTTCGATGGGTTTCATTTTTCTGTGGGGTAAAGGAAAGGAGAAGAACATCAACTTGCTTGACTTGACAGCACATGTAATTAATTTTTTAATTTAAAAATTTATTTTATTTGTTACATATTATTTAAAATATATTTCTCAATCTTTTAATTTTGTTCATAAATTAAGAAATTATAATATATCAGATATTAATTTTTTAAATTTATCTCAAAGACGTCAAGTACGAATTAATGGTGGGCAAGGACGGGGCCAAGGGACAAGGGAGTCTAGAAAAGGAAAAGAACACTCAAGGTTAGGGACTTGTTGTTCGAACTCGGAATAAACGCATTACGACACTGTGAAACGACGAAAATGTACTTCGCACATTATAATTCATGCCATTTCATATTGCTTGCTAGTAAACAAAATAAGTAGTTTCAATAGTTCTGACTTCCCTTGGATGCTCTCAATTGTCATGGCTTTTATAATTTCAGGCTTTGAAACTTTGTATTTGAAAATTTTTAAACTAGTTTGGCAAGTGAAATAGGGAAGTTCCCATCCCTTATTCCAGGGATTACTTCTCTTGTTTTAGCTTATATCGATTCCTATCCCACCTGGTAGTCTAGTCTTTTCCAAAGTATATACCTAATCAAAATGAAGTGAAATCAGTTGTTTGTTTTATTCATCTAGATATTCCTGCTTCTTGCCAACTCGTATTGAAGTTCGTTAGATGTAGACCATATAAAAGGAGAGAATTAAACTGTATTTCCTTCATATCTCACCCTTCGATCACTTCCCAAAATTTTCCTTTGTCAAAAATATATAAATCCCTTTGATGACAGAACTCCATTTAACCAAAACAGTTTGGGTTTGCTTTGAACATCAATTCTTTAACCTTTTTGTTTTGCTTCATCACTGATTTGTAACTTCTCTATAGCTAAAGTACTATATATATATATATATTATACTTAAATTAACCCAAATTTTCAACCGTCTTCCCGTGGAAAAAGAGAAGGTATTGATTAAAGAATCAACCAAATTTAGCTTACTCACGGAATCCTCGAGGATATAACACATTTCAAAAAAATATGTGGACCAAATTTCAAAGTTGACTTCCCACTCGATCGCTTTGTTATTCTCTCCCTTCCATAACCAGCTCTAATAGAATATGTACTACTAATAATTAGTACGCGGAATAAGGAAGCATATGGCATATAGGGAAATGGCTACTAGCTCTAATTCATGCATGCCACCCTACCTAAACGACTCTTCCCACTTCCCAAATTTATCCATGCTTTAATATATAATAACATATAGACACAAAAGAATCTATCTTACCAACAACTTTTTATGCTTGAGTTCCAATCAGAAAAGAGTTTGCTTGTCATCTACATATTACTAATTACTGCGGGAGAGTTTCGAGAAACTATTAATTTTACGTAAATAGGTAAATAATTATTTCTTTTACATTTATTGGGTTAATTTGTTCCTTAATAATCTTTTCAATTTTTGTCTTAATTTATACTATTTATTTTTTATTTTTAAACTAAATTAGTTTTTAAGAGAAAATAAAAGTTTTGAGAATGTATTTTTTTATAATATTTTTTTAAATAACACGTAATTAAGTTCCTTTTTTTAAAGTCAATTGGGTTACTAAAAGAAAACTTGAAACAAGAAAAAAAAAAAAAACATTTCTCAACCATCTTTCTTCTACCATACAATTTTGTTTTTCAAAATATATATATTAGCCCAACAACCATTCTCTAAATTAGATGGCCTTTAAAAGAGTTTTGGCTCTTAAATATTGCATTGAAATTCGTACTCGCAGTTCTTTTATGCTAACGCTCTTCCCATGTTCAATTAAAAGATATGTGATATATGAAATCATCGTATCCTTAAATTTAAGCCGCAATGTATACAACCAATTTCCCGACGACATGGCCCTTATTAAATTAATAATATTGGCTTTGTAATTTATCTTTTAGATGTCTAGCAAAGTTGGTTCAACCGATGCTTGCATGTACAATGCAAGAACGATAGGGGATATTTTGATATGATCACTCAAAGAAGGTGATTGGACTGTTTCATAATCTAGAATCGATGCTAAACAACACAATTCCAAATTTCTTTGCTAAATGCTTTTATCTTCTTTCCTTGAATTACAAGCATAGTACATTAATTACGAAAAAAAATTACTTCAAGTAATGAAAATGTGTTCATGAATTTTTGTTATTTTCTTCCTATGGCTTGATTTTCTTTAACAATATGTTTGGATAAATATTAATAAAATAAAACAAGAGTTTTTTTTTAAATAAAAGATATATGTATCCTTTGTTTAGATAATTAAAATTAATAAAAAAAAATTCTAACAACCATTGTTCGAATAAAATATGAAAAATAAATAAAATGATTCATTATAATAATTTTTTTTCAATTATAACATTTCATTGCTCGTGATTTTATAACACTCCTAGACTATAATATATTTACATATTGTCGATCTCATAATTATTGTTATATCAGTGATTTTTTATCAAGTGAAACAATAAGATGTTTTATAAATGATTGTGAGCTAATCCGACATCTTATAAACATAAAAAAAAATATTTATTTATATTCAATCATTCATTAAAATCAAAACACTAAAAATTATAAAAAAAATTTATATTAAAAAAGACATGTGAAATTTACTTGAAAAATAGATGGCTTTGAAAAAAATTATAGGATAATTATGATGTGGTTAAGTTTTTTTTCCTAGATTTGTAGTATTAATAAAAAGATAGATATAATAATCGTTTTATAAAAATAAAAAATTTTTAACTTTTTTTCCCTAGGTTTTCTTCAAATTGAGATATTAAAAAAGTGAGGATTACAATGAAAAATTAAAAGCTATTGAGTTTTTACCTATTTTTTTCCTTTAAATTAATGCAATGGTTGGATAAATATTAAAAAAAGAAAGTAAAGGAAGGGAAATGAAAGTTTTTTAAAGGAAAAGAAATATATATTTACCTTTTGTTTGGATAATTAAAATTAATAAATGAAAAAAAAAATTATAACAATTTTTGTTTGGATAAATAATGAAAATAAAAGAAATGCTTCATTATAATAATTTTTTTCAATTATAATTATTTATTATTTGTGATTTTAAAGCACTCATAAATATAATAATCTTTTTATAAAAATAATTTTTTTAACTTTTCTTTTTTTTACCTTTTACTTTAAATTGAGGTATTAAAAAAGTGAAAACTACAAGAAAAATAAAAAATTATTAAATTTTCATCTCTTTTTTTTAAAATTAAAAATTTATTCAAACAAATAAAAAATTTTTCTATTTTCATTACTTTATTTTATTTTCCTCTCCTCCCCCTTCATTCAATTCAAATATAGTGTAAAAATTTATCCACATAAATAAAAATTTTTTTATTTCCATTACTTTATTTTATTTTCTTTCCTCTCCCTTCAATTTAAACAAAGTGAAAGAAAAAAAAATACAATACTGTTATTTCATTAAAAACTTTTCGTGTGTTTGTCTCTTGTGAATAATTATATGATCTACTTATAGAATATTAAAATTTTAATTTTAATAATAAAAATTCAAATCATCGTAATTTCAGTAAAAAAAAAATTCCTGTTTTAATTTTTTTTCTAGTAAATTTTTCTTGGTTTTCTTTCTTACCAAAATTTCTGCTTCAGCTTTGCCTATTCCTATGTAATGCGGGTCGAAAGTCCACATCAAAAATAACAAGCAAAACCCGAAATCGAAAACTCTTCTAAGAAAAGTTGTTTGAAAAAGACAAGAATCCACCTTCAAAACCAAAGCCGAAGCTATATCCCACTCGGGACAAGGCCTAACTATGGGAACTGTCGCTACAGAGTACAAGCATTTAGCAACAAAAGCTACAGAAAAAATTGTCTGAAACCGAACATGGAGAAGATAGAGCACACCGTGGTGACCACCAACGGCATAAAAATGCACGTCGCATCGGTTGGTTCAGGCCCGGTAATCCTTTTCCTGCACGGCTTTCCCGAGCTTTGGTATTCCTGGAGGCACCAGCTTCTTTCCCTGTCATCCCTCGGGTACCGTTGCGTGGCTCCCGATCTTCGTGGGTTCGGTGATACCGACGCGCCTCCCTCGGCGACTTCATACACTGTTTTCCACATCGTGGGGGATCTCGTTGGCCTTCTCGACGCGCTTGGTGTTGACCAGGTGTTTTTGGTGGGGCATGATTGGGGTGCGATGATCGCATGGTATTTTTCCCAGTTCAGGCCTGATAGAGTCAAGGCTTTGGTCAACATGAGCGTGGCGTATCGGCCTAGGCACCCCAAGGTGAAGCCCGTGGAAGGACTCAGGGCTTTGTTTGGTGACGATTATTATATTTGCAGGTTTCAGGTAAATTGATTTTGCCATAAAATTTCAAGTTACTTCCCTGTTTTCTCTTCTCTGTTCGGAATTGCCATTCATTACAATGACTTTATTGGGTAAAACTGCAACTGGAATTGGTTGACTACATATTTGCCTTGTTGAACTTTCTATTTGCATGTAGTTTTGAACCCATCATCACAAAATACAATTATCCATTTCCCCTCTTTTTTAAAAAGATATTCTTTGACTAGAGTGAGTCAAAAATTGTTGTTTGCTAATACATTGATTGTTTTGCATGGGAGAATTGCTTGAATTAATGGGAGTATGGACTTTTTCTGGTAGTTAAAGTAGCAGATAATGTGATTTTGATATAATTGGGTTCTCCTATCTGTTTTTGGAAATGGATTTTCAGTATTTAAGTTTCTTGCCTTTGAGGCTCCACTTATTTTTGGCTTGGATTATCATTACAGTCCCTATCTACTTTTAAAGTAATAAAATCCAGCGTCCCAGTCCCAGGACTACTAATAGTATTAGAAGACAAACTCAGGTTGTGGGCTGACTTTGGATGATTTCTACATACTCCGATCTCCATTCTGAACTTTTATGATGAATAATAATTTCTCACAAATGGTTGCTTTGAGGTGTGATTAATGAAGGAAGCTATAGTCAACTCTGCTGGATCCAAAAACAAGATTATAGTGAAGCTTAGACTACTCAAAACTGTACACTATACCTCAACCGAGTATTTATGTTGTCACTATTTTTTACATGATTGAGACCACATTTAGTATACGGATTTTTCTTGTTACAGCAAAAGCAATGGCTCTTTATCTTTTTCCCATTCCCTACCTTTTCCCTTGGGAACAAATTGTCAGAGATTTTCAAAATAAATTATGGGAAATAATTCCACATTGAAAAAAGAACAGAAAAGACAATCATTTAAATTAAGAGGAGTGGAAGTCTAATGCAGTTGGACTTAAGTGGCTAAAGTGCAAAGATGGACCATGAGCTTGGATTTTCTAGCTTGATTGGTCTTGCATTAATTAAATAATTTTGCACACCAACTAGTAAATAGTACAGTGGGAGAGAATAAAATCTTAAAGAAAATGGTACAGTTACATATCTCGGAGCTTTCCTCAAAATTTCTGATTTACCAGAAGTAGTAATTCCAGATTTTCTGATTTTTGTTCTAACACAAATATTTCAAAAAAGTCTTTGTATTAGCTTGCTTAAATTTAAAAACATTGATATCTGAAATACTTTCTCTTAATAGGTATAAGTTGTTTGATTATCGGGTGTTCACTTTTCTTCTTTTCAGTTATCTTAAATCCTTAGATCTTATATCTATTCAATTTTACTTTCATGGTATATATTCTTCATTATTCTGTAGGAACCTGGGGAGATTGAAGAAGACTTTGCTCAGATGGATACTGCAAAAGTTATGAAGTTATTTCTTACATCTCGCAATCCACGTCCACCTTGTATTCCTAAAGAAACAGGTCTCAGAGGTTTGCCTGATCCTCCAGCCTTGCCTTCTTGGCTTTCAGAAGAAGACATCAACTACTATGCTAGCAAATTTAATCAAAAAGGATTCACCGGAGGACTGAACTATTACCGAGCTTTGAATCTGTAGGTGCAATTGTGCATGCTAAGATTGTTGAACTCTCATTTCTGTTTCATTTTTCTGCTGAATTTTGACCGATAAGCTAACTAGCTAATCTTCTCTTGGTGCTTGATCCTTTCTTCAATGTCTTTCACTTATATTTTGCAGCCCTGATAAACTTTACAAATCTTCTATATTATTCATGAGGATTAGGTAAACATGAAATTAGGAACCTAGATGTTCAGTACAACGCTTGGTGGAGCAGTTATTGGAGATGATTTGCATTCATATCATTCAACACATCTAGTTTCATTATCTTGACATTTCATAATAATTACTTAATTGAGCAGAGAACATGATACTTTCCAGCACTATTTCATCTCTCTCTTCATTTTGTTTAGGCATCATTAGAACTTGATGACTTAATTCCGCAAAAGTCAAAACTTGAAAAAGCTGGATCAATCATTGAAAGGCCTGTTTGTGTAGCCAAGCTAATCCAATCATCCTTGTTGCAGAAACTGGGAACTGATGGCGCCATGGACCGGATTACAAATCAAAGTGCCAGTTAAATTCATCGTGGGCGACCTGGACATTACATACCACACCCCTGGTGTCAAGGATTATATACACAATGGTGGATTCAAGAAACATGTGCCTTTCTTGCAGGAAGTAGTTGTCATGGAAGGAGTAGCCCACTGTCTAAACCAAGAAAAGCCCGAGGAGATTAGCATGCACATTTATGACTTTATTAAGAAATTCTGATTCTGATCTCCTATGGTACCTGACCTCCCTTGACGTTCAGATTCTACAATAAAGTGTTAAGACGTTGCAATGGACCTGCTTAGCTGTTTTTGATGCTTTCCATTTTTTCTTCCAACTAGTGGAATAAGTATTAGTGCAGTGCTTTATATACGCTTATGGAACTCAAAGTTGGTTCTGATTACATATAAGATACTATGGAGAATAAAGAGGCTGTGATAAAGGTCGGGCTAAGAAGTCAAGGCTAGTCGGTCCCTTTTAAGTGTTCAGTTCATTTGTCTATCGAACTGAAGCTTTCTAATGATCTTCATCAAGCAACTTATTTCCAATCGAGATATTCCATTTAACATTACAAAGTAAAATATGAATGAAATTAACAATTTACTACTATCTTCAACTTTTTTTTTTCTTAGATGTAAGAGACCAAAATATGAAAAAAAAATAAAAATACAAGTATTGCAATTCGAATTTTAAATTTATTAAATAGTATTTCATAAAAATGATGCATGAACCTATCTAGTCATGTTCGAGATTCAACTATTTTTTTTTTTTAAATCATAATGAACCCAGCAGTAATTCATGAGCAACTTGTTTCGCTTTATTAGGTAATAACCGATTAAGTGTAGGAATTGTGAAGGCCCCTCGTCACCCGTATACCACTGTAGTAGGTAAGTTCAGTATCCACGGTTGCCCTCCAATTATAAATTCTCAAATCTGTTCTGTTTTCAACGCCAGGCAAGTGACTGCTATTGACTTCAAATTATGCGTATCTTAAAAGTCCCACTCAGATCTCAGAGCCATGAATTTTTTTTTTTTTAATCTAAAGAATCTGAATTCTCAGTTTTCTGCGAAGTGTCATGAGATGCACCTTTCTAAAGCAAAGAAAGGATTTTGCCTTGAATCCACAGGATATGGGGGGATGGTAGCAACCTGTTAATTTACAAGACACATAATATGCCAGATCTAGCCAAATTATCCAAGTCTTACTTCAAATGGTCAACCATTGACAACGTCCAGATCAAAACAACTAGAAAAATACTTGCGGAACATTTAGATTCAAAGTCCCAGATCAAAACAACTTGAAAAATACTTGCAAAACATCTAGATTCTAGGGCAAACCATGCGATAGATATATCAGACAATCCTCCTTACATGTTCTGGAGCAGTATGGAGCAACATAATCTCTTTGCAGTTTAATTCTGTAATGGCAACCCTCAAATCCCTCCATAGAGACCCAAAAAATAAAAACACGTTCAATCACTCTAAAATTTCCTTGATAAACAAAATTACAAAAGATTCACAACTTCAATAATGTTTCATGAAAGAGAAAAAGAACAGGAAAGGTGGAAAAAGGAAAAAGAAAAACTGAGATTCCCATTTCATGATGATAGGCTGATAAGTAATTTTCTTCTAGAACAGTGGTAAACTCAAACCCTGAAGCCTTTGCTGTTCCTTCTTCCTCTAGCCCTCTCAAATTTCCTTCCCTTTGACCGCACATAGGGCTTGGTGTGGCTGTGTGGCACACCAGGAGCTGGTCCGAAGTGCTTTACAGCCTCACGAGCGTTCTTTGGACCTCGGAGGAGAACCTGCAGATTTTCAGCATGCAATTTGAATCAATTTTCACCATGCCACAATGTTGATCAGCATTCTAAAGCAATTCCTTTTGTAAAATCCCTAATTAAAATGTCAACCAAAAAAGAAACAGGGGAATGATATGTAAGATATACATGATTTAATGGTATAGTCTTGAAAACTCAAAATATTTCATAAAGGAAGGTGGACTGCATAAATAAGAAGCTTCCAAAGTGATTCTTTCAGCCTTCCAATGACTACGACCCTAATTATAAAGTCTAGAACGCTTAAGAATAGCAAATAAAAGAAAAGGTATTAAGTTGAGCCCAGATTCTTCAGTTTTACGAAGTATATTTAAACAGTATAGAAGTAAAGAGTCTTCCTTTACAATTGAATTATCAAAAAGTTCGAAAATAAGGAAATTATACTAACTAACAGTTGCTGTAGCATATGCTTATCAGTTCCCGTAACCCTAACATTCAAACTAACATCTATTTTACTTAGTGGCACCTTGATTAAAGTATAAAACAAGAAAAAATGGTATCAGGAGAAGATCCTATCTACATGAGGAAGAAGAAAACAACAATTACATAAAGATTTATAAATATCCCAACAGCTAATAATATAATTTACACTGTTATTGCTACCCCTCAACTGAAATATGAATTGTGATAATCATACAGTGAACTACTCAATTGAGCTACATAAAGAGAGAAGGGGAGAGCTGTTTATCTTTCCTCTTGAATGATGCCAAATATTAAAAAAAAAGAAAAAATCAGCAATTTGAGCCGATAAAACTTTGCCACTTCATACAGCTGAAACTAGCAGGTTTTATCATCTACCTTTCCAACCCCCCCCCCCCCCAAAAAAAAAAAAAAAAAAGAAAACAAGAAAAGACGTTCCAAAGCTAGCAAAAACAAGCCAACCGTTCCAACCCAAACCTGGTATTTTTAGTCTCAAAATGACTAGTAAAAAACAGCACAATGCTGACAACTTAAGTAAAAGACTTGCATCATAAAGCATACCGTGTTCTGTCCAAGAAGTGCTCGAAGAGCAAGTTGGTCAAATGTTAAACATTCCCCACCAGCTCTCTCGATCCTTGGCCTCGCTGTCTCAGTGAACCTTAGTGCAGTAACCTTCAGCGCCGGAACTTCATACACACGAATGTCATCGGTGACAGTCCCAACTAACACAGCAATCTTATCCTCCTGGTCGATCAAACCAATAACAAGATCAATCATTAATCAAACAAAAATTTCAATCAAAACACCCAACCAAAAATCATTAGAAAAATCCAAGAAAAAAACTGGAAATATCTAATAAATTACCTTGCCCTTCATGAATTGAATCAATCTGGAGAGAGACAAGGGAGGCTTGTCGGCTTTGCTCATAAAAACCGCTTCAAAATAACCGCATTGAATTTGCTCCCAGTCCTTCTTACCAGAAATCGGTAAAGCTGATCACAGATCCAAACACATTTAAAAAATCAAATTTTCTTCATAAAACAGAAATATATATAGCGAAACGACCGGGAAACGGAAGGAACCTTGACGAGGAGCTTGAGGTAGATATCATCAGACTTTGGAGCAGTTCTCTTTGACTTCCTGCTCTTGCCTCCGGCGACCAAGTCGATACCCTGAAATTGCAACAAAAATAAAATTGTTCAAAAAAAGAAGTTAAAAAGAGAGAGATGGCAGCGGCGGTTTGCGTTAGGATTTCGAGGTGAAGGGCATACCATTGCTGGTAAAGCTGCGCGGATGAGGGAAGGAAAATAGCCTTGAGAGACAAGAAGACAAGGTTTAAGAGACCTTTGCTTTTATTTTGTTTGGGATAACAAAGGTGAGGTTCGGTTTGCTGTTAAATTTCCATTGATTTCAATGCTTCCCATATTTTTCAGCCGTTGAAATTTGATCAGCTAAATCTGATGGATATTTCATTGAAGGGTCCGGCACTCCGACCGCCTGCTAAAAGGCTGTAGTTGTGGTCTTATGGGCCAACTTTGTGTCGTGCCATAGGTCGGAAACGTATCCAAATTGGGCAAGAAGGAATTAAACTTGAAACTCAGAGGCCCACTTTCAAGTTCGCTTGTGAAAAAGGGAAAAAACCGAGCCGAAGTCATATATCCATCCATAAATAACAAAAAGAAATCCACCAAAATTACCTAAGTTAGCTCTTACTAATCCCATGCCCATTTCATTTAGTTAGAAAATCTTGCATGCTTTTTAATTATGATTATTAGTAGAAGAATAAACAAATCAAATTACTAGGAGTTTATGCAGATTTTGAAAAAAACTAAAATTCAATTCATTTATTATTAAGTTGGATTGAAATTATTCAAGTAATGAGTAAAATTTAAATTTGATTTAATATTGAATTGAATTTAATTTTTATTTTTTAATATATAATAAATATAAATAATTGATAAAAATATAGTATTTAATATTAATATTTATAATTTCATCGAATCTATTAAATTGAGTTCAAGAAACTTTTTCAAATTACGAGTCAAAATCAGTTAAAAAAATAAATTCGATCAAACTTAATTGATTTTTAAAATTTTTTTAATCTAATAGAGTGTACGGACAATTTAACTGTATTACAACTGATCGTTAGTTGTCGTCTGTATACATCAAGAGTTTGGTAAGAGATTTTTCAAAAATGAAATTTATATATTTAATATAATTATCATTATAATATTTTATAATTATCGTCAGCTGTGTCAAACTCCAATAGGCAATAAGATAGTATTTGTTCAACGTTCTCTAAGACATTTCTCCGGCGGAAACGCCGCCGAATTTACCATAAAGGAAAAGTCAAACAAGTTTCCATTAGCGTCTTCTTTTTCCAAAATACTAACAAGCTCGTACTAATGTCACGAATTTTAAAAAAAATATTTAATCTCATTTCAAACATAAAAAAAAGTTATTGAGGTATAAAAAAATTTACGTTATTTTTTTTATGAGATATTTTTTATAAAATAAAATCATGAGATTAAGAGAAATCAAAACGGATAATATCATAAGAGCCTGAACTGTAATAAGTAAGTTGATTTGTGACGTCGAATGAGTGAATGTCTTAGTTTTAGAACCGTGCTGGTCGAAGCTTAAGTTTCGACTCGTAATAAATGATATCAAAATGAGTCTTAAACCATTCGATCCACGTCAAACGTTCCAAGAAAAATAAGTAGAGTGATCAATTTTCGTGACGAAGACGTCACGATGTTAGGTGAAGAAAACTTCACAGACTTAAAAATAAGTCAGTAATCTCACATCGGACATAAAAAAAAGTCAATAAAGTATAAAATGGTTCACATTATTCATCTTTTTAGAATGATCAGCTTTCGTGACGAAAATATTACGAAATTGGATGAAAAAAATGTCACAGACTTCAAAATGAGTCATTAATCACACATCTCATTGAAATATAAAATAATTCACACGATTTATTTTTTTCTTATGAAATACTTTTAGTATGATAAAATCGTGAGATTAAAATCTACGATACT